TGTGAGAACGCGGGAAGTTCCGTTAGTGCATGCGCCATGCTACGTCATTGCTCTATCACGTACGCACAGTCGCTTCGCGCAATATAAGGTTTGCTAGCTGTGGGACGAGTGGGAAACTTACTTTTGGGACGCGCCTCGTACAATGTGAGGAATCTTCTCTGTGAACCTAATATATCATTTCTAGTGTTTCAGAAGCAACTTTAATGAAGTGTTGACAGAATTTTATTGTAGAGCCATTTTGCAACTTCAGTCTTGTGCAGAGCTTCATTTGGCAGGAACAGTTTTCTAACTGAATATGCGACAGAGAACTAAGTTTCATTACTATTGTTCCAGAGCATTATGCAGATGGAGACCTGTCCCAACTGTTGGAGTCGGGATGAGCATTTCCAGTTGACGAAACGAGATTGAACCTGGCAGAAATCATCGACGCTGTGGAGTATCTGCAGAAAGTAGGCAAACAGTTCACCTGCAGTTCTGTGCAATAAAATGTATAACAAAGCAGTTTAAAGCCTGAAGGTACTTGTTTGTTTGTGTGGCTACAGAATTTTTTTGCTTTCAATCAATATGTCATTTATTCACTACAAACCAATCATCGTATTCTTGTCTCTTATCATGCAAAAAAATCTCAAATAAAAATGTACAATCGTTACTCAGACTAGTGTACAGTATTAATGTTGAAAGTAGATTATATTGGTGGTAAAGCTGAAGTTTCTCCTAGCGTCTCAGACACCTTCATGCCAGCCCTCTGCACATAAGCAACATGGTAGATCCTCACTCATAATCATGGTTGAAGCCACAGCTACAGTTTAGATTGGTTAGGGTCAGTGGTATTTAATTTAATCAATAAAATGACAACCTAGTTTGGATGATATGTAGCAGAAAAGGAAAATACTGAATCTGAATCTCATTACCACAGAAGAATGCAAGATAAACCATGTAAGATTTGAGGTTTTCACAGCGGTGAGTATTAAGATTTCTGTCTTCTGGGTTGTTGCGCTGTGTAGTCTGGTCGATGTTAACCAACGTTTCAGAGGTCATACTGCCTCCATCATCAGGGCGATGAGTATGAAGATTTCTGTCTTCTGGGTTGTTGCGCTGTGTAGTCTGGTCGATGTTAACCAACGTTTCAGAGGTCTTACTGCCTCCGTCGTCAGGGCGATTCGTTAACATCGACCAGGCTACACATCGCAACAACCCAGAAGACAGAAATCTTCATACTCATCGCCCTGATGACGGAGGCAGTATGACCTCTGAACCGTTGGTTAACATCGACCAGACTACACAGCGCAACAACCCAGAAGACGGAAATATTCAAGATAAACCATATTTTATCCCCTCAGTACAAGGAATTTATTTGTTAATTTTTTTCTTTCAGATAAGAGTCGTACACCGAGGCCACTTTGCTGTCGCAGATATGGTTTATGCAAACAATTTGTCAGCTCTGAAGAGGTAGATATTATATCCACCTTATCTTTTGTTCGGTGTGCGTACAAGGACACATAGGCTGTAAATATAAGAGCTATTTTGACAGCTGTCCATCAAGCAGTGCCCTATATTTGAGGGGTGTCAAAGTTTGAGACCTGTAAAGACTTGACAGGCTTAAGGTGCTTGGAATTTGGCCACACATATCGCAGTGTGTGTAACTAAAAGATGTCAGAAGGCGTGTGAATTTGAGGAGGTAAACATGGAGTGCAATACTGGTGTAGGGAGAGAAGAAATGCTACAGAGTATTGGTGGGAAAATCTGTTGGAAAATGGCAGCTTCAGAAATCATTAAGGAAAGAATCATAGCATTAAGAGGGATGTTACAGAAATGTATTCTGAAGGCAGGAGGCGAATGGAAGTCACTCCGGACTTTGCCCACTGGTGGTCTTCACTTTTTGACATGATCAGTTTTCTTTTCTGTTACCAGACAGTTTCTAGGTGTTTTGTGCCCCAAATTCCTGACACAGTTACTCGAAGTGTTGTTTCCATCTTCAGGGTGATCGTGCGTATTCGCAGTGTGGCACAAGTCAGTACATGGCGCCAGAGATATTCATCGGCGAAGGCTACAGCCATGTAAGTTTCTTATCCATTAACGGTATGATAATAATGAGCTCTTGGTTTTATGTTACTCAGCCAAACGTGATTAATGCAAACTAACAAGGAAAGACATTGTAATAATACGAGGGTTTGGAGCCACAAACAGTAACTTCATGGAGTTTGTAACGACACATGCATAAACTAGTCAGTATGCATGTCAGGAGGCCGAAGCATTCAAATGAATGTGGCGCAGTCAGCTGCCGGGCATCTGGCATGATGACATGCATTTTTGTCATATAACAGAATTTGAAATCCAAGTACTAGCCAGGCACTAAAATTCGAAATAAGTGTTGTTCAGACTTTGTTTCTTATGTGACTCAGCATGCAAGTAGCGTTAAGTGTCTACTTGTGGCGCATTACACCCAAAGTCAGAAAGAAAAATGAAGTAGCTGTCACCAAATTTCATGCTTCAAGGCCATGGAAATACTTCATATCCCTTACCACACAGCTCCACGCTCACCAACTAAAAGACACGGGAATTAGAACTGAATGGATTTGAGTAGTTTATGTGACCTACATTTCAGATGTTCAATGAGGGCGTCGTGAGTGGCCTGGCAGGTAACATAATTATATTTAGTTTCAGTCCACTCTATAATGAAGTCTAGGGTGACTGTAGCCAATTCTCCTATCAAGTTCTGGCAAAGTGGAAGCCACTGTTAGCTCATGGATAGCATCTTCATGTACCCCAAGAAGAATGCTTTAAGGGGAGGAAGGTCATGTACACAATGTGGTCAAGCCATAGGCCCACCCTTGCCAATAAAATTCTCTTAAAACTTGTTATTTAAGAGTCTATCAGTTACTTGTGAAAATGTGGAGGCATTCTGTCTTTTGAATAAAAATTTTCTTGGATATTATCCATCATCTAGTAAATATAAAACGTAAAACGA